CATACATAGGCTCCAAGCAGTAGAGTGAAGCCAGATGGCCCCGGGCCAGTAGGGCAGCGAGGCCTGATATTTTCGGGGCTGGTGGAGCAGCGAGGTGTCATGGCCCCGGGGCCAGCAGAGCAGCAAGGGATGACGTTTCCTGGGCCGGCAGAGCAGCGAAGCCTGACGTTTCCGAGGCTGGCTCTGGCCAGAACTCGGCCAGAGCGAAGGCCTGGGCCCCTGGTGCCAGAGGCAAACTGGTGCCAGCAGCCAGGGGAAAGGAAGGCCTATTGCACAAATCTCTTCATGCAACAGGCCTCTAATACATATATATAATCAGTTATTGTGGAAAAAGCTGCAGTAAACATGAGAGCACAGTTATCTTTCCAGGTACCAATTTTATTTCTTTTCTGCCCCTAGTTATAACATAAATAGCACACATTTTGAAGTACAAAAGCTATTTTTCTGAGTTGCCTCTCCTAATAAAAAGCTATGTAACATGGGCCTAAACTTTTGGGACATTAGTAGCTTCATTTTCATTATTTCCCCCCCCCCCCATCCTATTAGGGACAGTAGAAAATGCAATAAGAATAAATGGGAAGATGTTAGATTTATTGTATAAAACAAGTATTAAACATGAAATAAGTGGTTTCTTTCTTTATTGTTCTATCTTCTCTCTTTTGCTTTCTCCCCATCTCTTATTGAGTAATCGACTCCAATGCCAGATTACTCCAAAGACTATTGTAAGAAAGACTCTCAAGGTCATGCTTCCACTAGAAAACCTCCCCCTGAGGTTGCCTTGCCTTTGATCCCTTTAGGGAGATCAAATTCAAAACTCATTTAACATTCTTTTGAGACAAAGTAATTGAAAACTGTTTTTCCCTTTGGTATTGCAAAGATTCACCAGCTCCTGTAAGATTCATGGCAAATATTATTTTGTAAATCATCTAGTTTTCTATCATCAAAAAATACTGAGATTTTATATCATTATATCCCAGGGGGCAAGTGACCCTGCTCCTGTCCTTTCCCCAGTGGGTTTCATTCACTCCTCTCTACTAGTTGTAGCTGTCTGCTTGTGTGTATTTGGGGCAAGAGCAGGACTCATAGACCAGATCAGAGGATCAATTAGTATGAGTTGAACTCTTTCTAGGAGTTAAAGCTGCTTCTTTTTAAGGCAAAATTAAGGAATTTCCTTTGTAGTCTGTAAGGGGTCATTAATAAATAGTTAATATCCAAGGGGTGAGTTACTCAGAAATTGAAGCTAGATAAATTTATATAGCAAAGTATATAATTGAGTTGGTCACCAGAATCACTGAAGCCAAAGAAAGTGTGATACCAGTTTTCTGGGTATTTTAGGCAAAAACATTCTAGAAGGCAAGACAACCTTTATGTTCTATTGGTTTTGGTTTTTTAATTAAATGGTCCCTTCCTTGTTATAGGTTTGATATGATTGACATCCACCTTGATAGTGGCTAGGAGGGAAGATTCTAGAATCAGTCAAACATCAGTTCAGATCATGGTTCTACCACTTACAAGTTATGTGACCTGGGGCAAGTCAATTAATTTCTTAATCCTTAGTTTCCTCATCACAAAATGGTAAAATTATAGTGTCTTTATGACAACATTATTAGTAAGAGCCAATAAAATAATGCATAGAAAACCACTCACCATGGTCCCTGGCATATTAATTAAAACTCTATAAGTGCTAGCTATTGAATTATCATTTTATTATCCTTTATCATTTTTACCTACATCCTGAGCATAATGCCATTTTGTATAGTTTAAACAGTTGTATAATTTACCTATAAGATGGACTCATTTTCATTATAACTTTGACTAATGGGAAAGGAAGGAGGTTCTAACTCTCAAAACCTGCTAATGAAACACAACTTCCATGATTTATATTCTTCCATATCCCGAAGCAGGCATTTTTCCAAGCTCTGCTTGCATCTATTATTAATTTGTACATCAATGGTTAGTTTAATATGGGAACTTGTTCACTGTTGTTTGGTGTGTGTGTGTGTGTGTGTGTGTATGTGTGTGTGTGTGTGTGTGTATTTGCATGCACATGCACCATGCACTTTGGGGAAGTCCAGTGAAAAGAATTTTGAGATCATTCACTTAGAGTCAACTCAACAAGTGCATTGACTTTTTGCTACAATCCTACACTAGACTCCATGGAGAAAATATTTATATAAGGAAGAGTTCCAGTCCTCAAGAAACAATACATACACATGTGTATACATGTGCTGTTAGAAAGAAAGATGGAATTTAGGATGAGGAGATTAAGATTTACATTCCTTTTTCATCACTCACTAGCCTGGTGACTTCAGAAAAGTCTTTCAACCTCGGAAACTTGTTCCCTTCAAATGAATAATGAAGATAAAAATCTGCCTTATTTGATTGACAAGGTTGTTATGAGGCTCCATTCTAATAATGTATGTGAAATCTCTTTGTAAATTGTTAGCTAGGTGACTATAATTCACAAATATGAGTTACAGTTATGTTCAAGTGCCAGATTGTGTACTTCAGACATCAGACACCTTAAAAGATCCAGATTTGGGGCTGGAGCTATTAGGGAATGCTTCCTGTAGGAAAAGGAACTTTTACTGAGCCGTCAAAATTAGATTGGACTTCAATGGGTGGAAAAGAGTGGAAGGGAGTGTGTAATCTTGGTGGAGGGATTAAAAATAATCAAAGATTCCAGAGGCTAGAATAAGCATTCAAACACATACCAAGTGATATAAAACGTGGTAGGGAATACAGTTACCAGGGTAATTATAATGGACTAGAGGCCTGGTTCAAGAATTTGTGCACATTGAAATAAAATTAATTAGAAGAAATATTTAATATCATTATCTGCCATTTCTCTATAATAGAAGGGTCAACCATATTCACAATCAACAATGACAGATGGAAACACATGTGTGTGATTGGCACCAGCGAGAGCTTTGTATATATACTAGAGGCCTGGTGCACAAAATTTGTGCACTGGAGGCGGTGTCCTTCAGCCCAGCCAGCACCTCTCCAATCTGGGAGCCCAAGGGGGATGTCAGACATCCCCCTCCTATCTGGGACTGCTGGCTCCCAACCACTCACCTGCCTGCCTACCTGCTTGCCCCTAACCGCTTCTGCCTGCCAGCCTGATCACCCTCTAACCACTCCCTTGCGGGCCTGATTAACACCTAACTGCTCCCCTGCTGGCCTGATCTCCCCCAACTTCCCTCCCCTGCAGGACTGGTCGCCCCCAACTGCCCTCCCCTGCCAGCCTGGTCACCTCCAACTGCCCTCCCCTGCAGGCCTGCCCCCCACAACTGCCCTCTCCTGCTGGCCTGGTGACCCCCAACAGCCCTCCCCTGCAGCCTGGTCCCCCCAAACTGCCCTCCCCTGCAGGCCTGGCCCCCCCCCCTGCCCTCCTTTGCAGGCCTGGTCACCCCTAACTGCCCTCCCCTGCAGGCCTGGTTGCCCTCACTGCCCTCCCCTGCAGGCCTGGTTGCCCCCAACTGCTCTCCCCTGCTGGCCATCTCGTGTCCACAAGGGGGAAGCCATCTTTGACCACATGAGGGTGGCCATCTTGTGTTGGAGTGATGGTCAATTTGCATATTACCTCTTTATTATATAGGATATAGATAAATTTGCTTAATTAGACCTGTTTTCTGATTTAGCTAAACTTTTTCCAGCCTGGTGAAGCACCCCAACTTCTCTTTCAGGTAGTTGTCAGCAACACAGCAATAAATATCAACACGAAGCAGATTATGATTGTAGATCATGTAGGGAGAACAAAGGGTAAAATATTTAACTGTAGCAGTGTTTTTCTATATTCTGTGCAGTGAGAAAACCTGAAGCCATTTTCAAGGTCCACCATTTCTTATTTCTTTTCAGTCAGGTCAAGTTTCTAAGCTTTCTAAATCTCTATTTTCCAGCTAATGTAAAGAAAATAGGATTCCACCAAGTCTCCTATCTACCTATTCCAGGACTTCTGTGAGGATCAAATGAGATGAGGCACTGGAAAACACTTCAAAGACATTTGGTTAGAGTGTAAATGTTTCCACCTGGCTATAAAGCAAGCTGTGTTCCTGGGCTAAAGAAACTGCAAGGAGGCTAGTCATAGTTAGGGAAAGGAAGCTGGGTATTTCTACGTGACATCATTTCCCGGCTCCCACAGTGACCATTTCCAGGCTGGGCTGGGGGCTGTGGGTTGCATTTTACGCCATGGGGTCTCAGCAGCTTAGGCTATAATTTGGTGGGGTGTTGCTCCAGGGTGGTGGCAGGGCCTGTGTCCCACTTAGGGGAAGCCAAGTGTTGCTTTGTGGGCGCTAGGTCTGAAATGCCATTTCTCGTAAATGGCTGGTGCACATCACAGCAACAGCAGCTCCTCTGTTGATCATCTTCCCACTGGTGGCCAATGTGCATCGTAGCAACTGGTCAGATGGTCAGACACTTAGCATATTAGCCATATATATATATATATGGTTTTTCTTCTGACAGGACTCCCTCCTTCTAGGCAAGTTAATACCTTATTCCTATAGATCTGTTAGCTCCATCAATGCAAGGTCCGTGTCCTCCTTATCTGGTCTCTCTCTAATGCCTATCACAGAGAGTAGTTGTTCAATAAATGCTCAACAAATGAAACAAGTGGATGATGGTCATGTCAGTTACTATTCTTGTCTGGCTGCTTTAATATATGCATATCTCAGAGATACCGTGGGATTGGTTCCAGACCACTTTAATAAAGCGAGTGTCACAATAAAGCAAGTTGTAATCTTTTTGCTGGTGGAGGCTCATGCCTTCAATTTAGCAGTGTTTTACTATATTCTGTGCAGTGAGACACACTTATGGAGCGCAATCAAGTGAAGTATAATAAAGCGAGGCATGTCTGTATTTTTTCATCATCAGCCACTGAATTAGGGACTGTCTTTTAATGCCCTCAGTGTGGTACAGCCCCATCTACTGTTGGGATTTATGAAATTCTTTGCAATGATGCCAATACTTAGTATGTTTTTTTCTCCACCCTGTCCCAGAAGACTCCTTACTCCCAGTGAACAATAAGGTAACCAGCAAGTCGTGTGAGTACAACGGGACCACTTACCAACATGGTGAGCTGTTCATGGCTGAAGGACTCTTTCAGAACCGGCAACCCAATCAGTGCACCCAGTGCAGCTGTTCGGTAAGACCCTGCATCTTAATGTCCCTGATAGCCCCTACCCAAATAAGAAAGCTTCCTCTGTACTAATACATTTAGTTTGAGCTTGCATTGTAGGGTGTTTGAATGGAATATGAATTGCATTTAAATCATAGCATTCCTGTCAATCCAGACACCCTGATTTCATCCATCCTGAATACCTCTGTTAAAGAGGTCAGACCCAGTCATATTCTGGTCTTAAAGCTTTGGGACTGCTTAAAGGACAGTGATGAATTGGTGGTCTTGATATGCACTTTTTAAAAAAACAGTAGTTACAGCATTAAAGCCTTCATTCGAAGCTTTAGGGATAGATACTATGGGTGAAAAATCACTGGCACCATCTAGGGCCATTCAGTGAAATTCACAAGAAAATAGGCAGTTTCTTAGTTTCATCTCTGAAGTATTCCATTGACCAGTTCATCTCTGGTGCCCTTCAATGAGAACTCTCTTGACAAAACATGACTGATCCTGTGACATTACTTGTCAAAAGAGTGTATATACTTAAGCAATGAAGTATACTGATTATATATTCATCTAATTGTGCAGTCCAGAGAATGAAATAGATAGAACCAGAAAATGGAGTTAAATGAGTATTTAAACTGTAGTGTTAGGGAATGAAGTTAAATGTAGAAACAACTGTTTTTCCTCCAAGGGGCATTTAATGCTGGATTTCCAAGGGTGACTATAATTCACAAATATGAGTTACAGGGATTTTCAAGTTCCAGATTGTGTGCTTCAGACATCAGACATCTTGAAAGATCCAGATCCATAGCGGTTTTTAGTAAAAATATAGTATCTCAGTAGTTTGGGATAATTTGGTTGTGATCTTGCCTTCCTGAACTTCTAGAAACCCTTCTAGCCCCAGAATTATATGCTTCTAAGAACTAAGAACAGGCTTAAGAAATAATGTTTGGAACATAGAACTTTAGGGAATGTAGATTATGCAAAAACAGGCATAACAACAAGTAAATTTTATCTTTTCTTTTGCCTCGTGCTGGACTTAGCTGTCAATTCAGATCATTTGTATAGTTTTGTATTACCCCAGAGAGCTTGTATCCTGGGTTTGGATGAGAGACTAGTGAGAGTTACAAAAGGTGGCTATCATGCAAATCCACATTCCCCGAAATCCCCAACATCCAGCTGAAGTATGATGAGGACCAAGGGATACAATGATCAGAGGACAGAGGAACAAGACTGCATTTGGTGGTTTGGAGGCCCATGGCAGTCCTCACACTGACCACTTTGTGATATCTTAGACCAGGATGCACAAAGAGGATTGACAATTCTTCTCTTTCTTAATCTTTGGTGTGGTAAAATAGAAAATAGAACAAAATAATACCTAGTCAAATTTAGAAAGTACCTAGAACCAACAGTGGGGAAGGACATGCCATGTTTTGAGCCTCTTCTCATTCCAGGTACCTCTCTAAGCAGCCTTCTGACCTTAATTCTGTTTCCTCTTGGCAGGAGGGAAATGTGTACTGTGGTCTCAAGACTTGCCCAAAATTAAGCTGTGCATTCCCTGTCTCTGTTCCAGATTCCTGCTGCCGGGTATGCAGAGGTAGGTATCCCATCCATATCTCAAGACCCAAGGTGCTGCCAATCTGAGTAGCAAGACTTAGAAGAGAGGAAAATATCTGCCAAGTGTTCTAGGAAGAGTGAACTTTCTGCCGTAGCTTTAGTTTGTAGAGATGCTTTCATGCAGAAAAAAAATAAAAGCACTGATTTTAAGGGCCACCACCTTACAGAAACCACAGGAGTGTGGCAGGAGAGGTGGAGTGGGAATCATCTACTGTGAAAATGCATGCCTTATTCTCTCTTTCCTTAATCCCTTCTAGTTTGGTCCCCATATTATTGTATTGTAAAATGCAGGCCATTTCCATGCCTTAAAAGATAGAATGGGCCTTGCAAAGCATTGACATAACTATTTTGAAGATTGTGCAAGGCAAATTTATATCCTATATAATAAAAGGGTAATATTCAAATCAACCGAACGGTGGAATGACCGGTTGCTATAACGCACACTGAGCAGCCAGGCAGGCAAGCGGTTAGGGGCTATCAGGCAGGCAAGCAGAGCAGTTAGGGGCCATAAGGCAGGCAGAGTGGTTAGGGGTGATCAGGCCGGAAGAGTGGTTAGGGGCGATCAAGCAGGCAGGCAGGCAGAGGGGTTAGGGGTAATCAGGCAGGCAGTCAGGTAGAGTGGTTACAGCCGATCAGGCAGCCAGGCCGAGGGGTTAGGGGCAACCAGGCAGGCAGGCAGAGCAGTTAGGGGTGATCAGTCAGGAAAGTGAGCAATTAGGAGCGAGTAGGCAGGTGAGCGGTTAGGAGCCAGCAGTCCCGGATTGCGAGAGGGATGTCCAATTGCTGGTTTAGGCCTGATCCCTAGGTGATCACGGCCTAAACCGGCAGTTGGACATCTCTCAAGGGCTCCCGGATTGCGAGAGTGCACAGACCGGGCTGAGGGACCCCCCTCCTGCACAAATTTCATGCACTGGGCCTCTAATATATCCATAAAATCCCATGGCAGTATTGTGATAAACTCAATAAAAGTAATATGTAAAGCATTATTTTCTCAAATTATATCTAAAATGGAATAGTAATTTTCTCAAGACAGTTTTTTCTTCTTTGACTTCCATTTATTTAATATTGAATGACACCACTTTTTTTTTCTAGGCTTCTAAGATCAAACATAACCACCATTAATTTCCCCTTTATTGTATATTCTCAAATTACCAAATCTATTAGCAGTTCTGTATCCCTCCCTTTTCCCATTTTCCCTGTGGCAGTATCTGCTTTTGTCTTCTTTCCTTTCATTCAATCAACATATTTATTGAGCATCTACTGTATGCTCAGCACTGTGCTAGAAGCTGAATAGGTATTATTGAATATAGTGCACACACAGGGCACCTCTAAGACTCTATAGCATCTTTATGCAAATTACAAAAGGGATTCTCTTACTTAAGATACTTTGCTTCCATTTGCCAGAAAATCCTTGTGAATACACCACCTTAGCTGTGGCACCCTTGTGGAGTCACAACCTGTAAAACCATATCTGGCATATAGAGCAGCAAAGATATGTTCTTTGCTCTTATGGAACTTACATCTTAACAAAGAAGACAAATAATGTACAAAAAGTAAACAAATATCTAAATATGAACAGTTTAATTTCACTTAGTCCTCCATATCCATGCGGTAAGCATCTGCAGGTTCAATTAACTAAAGATTGAAGTGCTATATAGGCATACCCTGGTGTAACCTATATGTATATATGGGTTATATGCAAATACACATTTTAAATGAGGGACTTGAACATTCTTAAATATTGGTAGCTGCTGAGGGGATCCTGAACCAATCCTCCAGGGATTCTGAGGGACAACTATTCTATGAAGGAAATCAACAAGGACTGATATAGAAAATAAGAGGTGAGGGCATTTAGGTTGAATGATTGGGAAGGCCTTTCTGAGATAACATTTAAGCTCAGACTTGAAAAATGAAAAGGAGCCATCTATGCAAACATCCTGTGGGTAGATCATTCTAAGCAGAAAGAAAAGCAAGTTTAAAGGCCTTGGGCAGAGAAGAGTTGAGAGTGTTCAAGGAATATAAGGATCAGTGTAGCTGGAATATAGTGTTTATGGTCAAAATTGGCAGGAGATGAGGCTTGAGAGGTGAACATACCATGCAGGCTATTCAAGGCCATAAGAAGGAGTCTGGATTTCAGTTTTTAAGTGCATTGGGAAGCCATTGGAAAGTTTTACAAAGGGGCATGACATGATGCTGTTATGACTTTAAAGATCTCACCAGCTGTTGTGTCCAAATTAGATTGGAGGGAGGCAATAAAGCAAGTGGAGAGACCAGAAAAAAGGTGAGCCTAGTAGTCTCACTAGTGTGGGAGTGTGCACTGGTCTAAGGGCACAGTGCACAGTAGTGGTTCAAATGGAGCCTCTAGAGCCAGGCTGCCTTGGTTCTCATCCCAGCCCTCCTACTTTCTACCTGGGTGATTATGAGCAATGTATTCCAGCTCTCTAACAATATTTAAAGTGAGGATAAATTTAACACCTACCTCCAAATAGTTGTGAGGTTCAAATGAGATCATGCAGGAAGAGGACTTAGCATAGGGTCTTGCATATAGTGAGGATTTAGTAACAAAAAATGGACAAATTTGAAATATATTTAAAGCATTGGTTCTCAACCATGTCTACATATTGGAATTACCTTGATATATATTTTTAAATATATATTTTTATTGATTTCAGAGAGGAAGGAAGAGGGAGAGAGAGATGGGAACATCAATGATGAGACTCATTGATCGGCTGCCTCCTGCGTGCCCCCACTGGGGATCAAGCCTGCAACCTGGACATGTGCAGCTAGGGCTACCTTGATATATTTATGTTCAGACCTGGGGGGGTGGGTGACAGAGGTAATTCCAGTGTGCAGCTAACTTTGATAACCACTTAGAAGAAAAATTATAAGATTTTCTAGTAGGAAATGAATATGCATTACTGCCAGCTTAATTTTCCGAAAAGATAGCCTTATCCATGATACACCCCTATTCTAAAGTCTTTATGCTGACACATATACTTAACTATATTCCAGTCACAGTTCTAAGCACTTTACAAATATGAGCTAATTTAATCCCATGATCCCTATTTTATAGATGATGAAACTGAAGCAGAAAGAGGTTAAAACCTTGTCCAAGGTCCCGTACATAGTTATTACAATATTATTGACTATACTCCCTATGCTATACTTTACATCCCCATGACTATTTTGTAACTACCAATTTGTATTAATCCTTCACTTTTTTCACTATGTATGGTGCCAGGAGGATACTGAAAATATCAGGGGGGAACATTTTGTAAAGTATGTGATTGTCTAACCACTATGCTCTATACCTGAAACAAATATAAAATAATCTTGAATGTAAACTATAATGGAAAAACAAATTAAAAAAAACACCTTATTCAAGGTCATGTAGCTAGTGAATCAAGAAGCTAAGAATTAAACCCTGGCAGTCTGGCTCTAGATTTCAGGCTCTTAACCAAGCTACTGTGCCACTGAAAGGAATAGTTAACTCCCTATTGCCAGTAAAATACAAGTCAATCCCCTGACTCTGAAAGTGAAGGTCTTCCAAGCTCTGCTCTCAACTTACTTTTATAGACACACATTCTTTCATTCATGCACCTCAGGTTCCACTCACATTGTTTCTGTACATGTGTACGTTTGCTTTTGCCTGCACCCCTCAATATGTCTCAAACTTCAGTGTGATTCAGAATCACCTGAAGAACTTGTTGAAATTCAGATCCTTGGACCATAATTATAGAGATTCCAATTCGGTGGCCTTGGAGTGAGGCCCTATGGCAGTGATGGCGAACCTTTTGAGCTCGACGTGTCAGCATTTTGAAAAACCCTAACTTAACTCTGGTGCCGTGTCACATATAGAAATTTTTTGATATTTGCAACCATAGTAAAACAAAGACTTATATTTTTGATATTTATTTTACATATTTAAATGCCACTTAACAAAGAAAAATCAACCAAAAAAATGAGTTCGCGTATCACCTCTGACACGCATGTCATAGGTTCACCATCACTGCCCTAGGGTGTGCATTTTAATATATTTTTATTGCTTTCAGAGAGGAAATGAGAGGGATAGAGAGCTAGAAACATCAGTGATGTGAGAGAATCATGGATCCACTGCCTCCTGCATGCCCCTGACCGGGAATTGAACCCTGACCTCCTGGTTTATAGGTTGACACTCAACCACTGAGCCACTCTGGCCAGGCTAGGATGTGCATTTTAAGAGGCTCCATTGTCCATTCTGATGCAGGTGGTCTACAGCCCACTGCTTTGAGAAACCAGTCCTAAGACCTTGTAGATGATTGGGGTGGCCTGAAATGATGGTTTGCATTTTGGGTTAGTGCATTTAAATTGAGACTATTAGAAGTCTGAAACCTGAGTAAGCCAATACAAAAGTGACCAATGGCAGTCTCTGACTGGCTAGAGCATCTAGTTCCAAACATATGTCAAGCAACTTGGGGGTGAATGAGTGGAGGCTATTTTATGATGTGGAACTGGGAGGGAAAGAAGACAAAATGGCTACCTAGGTAACAACAGTAAGGGTTGAGAGAAGGGAGTGTTTTATCTTTCTGGAAAACCCCCTTTCCACCTCTGCTTGTGAAAATCCTGTCAGTTCCTCAAGACCTAGTTCAAATGCAGCCTCCTCAGATTCTAACACAAGGAATCCTCAGGTTACATTTTGATAAATACCAGCTGGAAGGCCTTTCTCTTTTCTCTGCCTTCCCAGCTCCATCCCTAATTTCTCTATCCCTAAGTCCTGCTTATCCTTAAAAGGCCAGCCTAAATACCACCTCCTCCATGAACCTTTTAAATTTTTTATTAAAGTATAGTTAGTTTCAAGTGTACAACATTAGTGATTCAACATTTATCTACTTATGATGTGATCACCATGATAAGTCTCGTAGCTATCAGTCACTGTGCAAAGTTATTACAATATTATTGACTATATTCTCTCTGCTATATTCCATATACCGATGGTTTATT